GGGCGGGGGTGCGACCGCCGGCCCTCCCTTCTCTCATCCCGCGGAACTGCATTGGCCCTCAGGACATTCAGCACACGGAGGAATTCCTCATCAAGCCCGAGTCCCGGATCCCCCAGCTGGACACGTCTCAGTGGCCCTTGTTGCTGAAGGTGGGTCGGGTTCTAGACAGCCTCGTGGCTCCTCCGTTTGTCCTCCCGATGCAGGCCCACGCATGTGCAGGGCTGATTCTGCCTGTAACCCTTCTGGGAGGAAACAGCACGTGTGATGGAGGCAGCCGCTCCGCCTGCAGGAATCACGTTAGAAAGCTTGTCTAGCAGTATGATTTTCATACTTACGTTCTGAATTCACTGTCTCCTGTAAAAACCCCACCAGATTTCTTTGCTTTTTATTTCGGTCTGACTGTGGCCCCTGTAGACTTCTGAGTTGCTTTTTTTGAGTTTTTAGGACACACTAGGCTTATCCTGCATTGTAAAGATTGGTATTGTGCTGCTTTCCCATCTCTCAGGGTTTCTGGATTTTTGTCTTTTTCTGGAAGATGTGGTGGTTTCATTGTTGGGTTATTTCCATTTTGGAAGAGACTGAGTTAAACTTGCAAACCAAATGTTGTGTAACTGGGGAGACGTATTGGGGTAAAGCAATGCTGGAACCAGTGTGAGATCAAGAACACCTGTAACTTTTGCTTGGATTTTGTAGAACTTCGACAAGTTAAATGTGATGACAGCACACTACACGCCTCTGTCTTCTGGTGCTAATCCCCTGAAGAGAGAGATTTCGGACTATGTTAGGTGAGTGTAGTAAGAGCCAGAATGGTTTATTTTTCTTGCCCAGTTAGTATCTTCAAAACATTTCCTGTTTTGGCTTCCCCTTGTACTTCTCTACTTGATTTGGTGCCATGCTACTAACCAGTAAATGTCTAAATAGGACCCTCGGGTCAGTTCCTGTAAAGATTGCTTTGTTTTGGGGTTGTGGCTGGTCTGTGGATGGACATGCAAACACTTGAGTTATTCCCCGAGGTCTTATGGAAAATCCTTTGGTTTTGGGGCTGCTTGGAGTTTGTGAGTAGCATTTAGTTTGGTTCAGTGATCAGCAGTGGGGAGAAAGAAGAGAAAACTCTAAGCATGTAATTTATTGCCTGCTGTGTGCAGAGCAGCTTGACATGTGCTTACTGAGAGCAGCTGTGAGGCTTATTGCTTATATGGCTGTATGGAAACATTTCTTTGCAGCCGTGACAAACGTTGTCAAAGCTTTTGCACTATTGCTATGTTTGCCCTGATCCTTAGCTCCTACTCTGTCGTCTGGCACTATAGGTCTGGCTTTATTAACCTGGACAAACCCTCCAATCCATCTTCTCACGAGGTGGTTGCGTGGATCCGACGCATCCTTCGAGTAGAGAAGACTGGACACAGTGGCACTCTGGATCCTAAGGTGACTGGGTGCCTCATTGTGTGTATTGAGAGGGCAACACGACTTTGCAGCTGTGACAAACGTTAGCAAGAGTGCAAAAGCTTTGACATGTTTGCTCTGATCCTACTCTGTCGTCTGGCACTATAGGTCTGGCTTTATTAACCTGGACAAACCCTCCAATCCATCTTCTCACGAGGTGGTTGCGTGGATCCGACGCATCCTTCGAGTAGAGAAGACTGGACACAGTGGCACTCTGGATCCTAAGGTGACTGGGTGCCTCATTGTGTGTATTGAGAGGGCAACACGACTGGTCAAATCTCAGCAGAGCGCAGGTATGTTTGCTGCCTGGGACTGGTCATAGTCTAAGTGACTGGGGAGGTGTTCTTTTGGAGACAAAATGGAGATTTCCAGCCTCTGAAAGGGCTTCTCGTGTCTTCAGTCCCTTGAGCTTAAAGGTTGGTTGTGCTTTGCACTCCAAACCAATGAGGGCATCTCTATGCTATCACAAGTTTGGTTGGTTTGTTTTTCCACTTGCTTTTCTGGGGCTTGTGCTGTTTTAAGTTGGTGAAAACACTTCTGCTGTGGTGGCTTCATGTACTTCATTAGCTTACAGCCTCAGCCTCTACCAGTCCAGTAAAGTAAAACTTGGTGAAGAAACAAATGTAGTTTAGTTTTATTGTGTTGGAGAAACAACCAACTCTGTCCATTTCCTAGGAGAGGTGTTTGTGAGAATTTCAGGGATTTGTGTGGCTGTGAAGCAGTGTGGACCTTCAGGTCAACATTAAATGCAAGCAGCTGCTCCTCACTGCTCTTGTCATTCTTTCAGGCAAAGAGTATGTGGGAATTGTTCGGCTGCACAATGCAATTGAAAGTGAGGCTCAGCTTGCCAGGGTAAGTCTCAGTGTGTTCCTAATGCTAACACTTTACCTGCAGAGCATTCAGCATCAGAGGGAGATGAGAGGCTAGGAGCAGAGCTTGGGTGCGCGCTGTATGTGAGGTGATGACGCAGTTTATCCATTCTCTGAGTGCAGTGGTGCTGTCCTCCTGCAGCACCCTGATTCCTGTTCCAGGGTCTGGGTGCTGTGCAGCCTCCAGACATCCTCCAGTCTCCCAGTGTCCTACTGGGGGCTGCTGTGGTGTGTGGCTGGCTGCCTGCAGGAGGGAAGTGGTGCCAACAGGGTTGGAGCCCCTCTCTGGGGGGCTCTGTCCTCACTGAGATGAGGGATGGTGTCTGATCACATAGTGCCACCTGATGAAAAAGCCCAGCTGTGCTCACTGGTAGCTGGGTTAGCATTTTAACCACATCTCTGGTTCAGATTTGCTTTATTAAATGTGACATCACCTAATTATTATGAATTGTGGTTTCTTGCTATCAAAGTGGTTGTCGTTGCTGGAGACTTCAAGGTGCTCCTGTGTTGGCACAGGTGTGAGCTGTTACTTCTGCTTCTACCCTCAGGCCATAGAAACTTTGACAGGTGCCCTGTTTCAGCGACCACCCCTCATTGCTGCTGTCAAACGACAGCTGAGAGTCAGAACCATCTACGAGAGCAAGCTGGTGGAGTATGATCCTGAGAGAAGATTAGGTAAAACAGGGCTTTCCTATCTTCTTCCTATGAAGCTGACAAATTTTTTTGTGAAATGGACCACTTCCTATTTTTGGCATATGTCTTAAGACCTGAGTCCTCACCCCTGTCATGCAGTAACTGCTTCATGTGTGTGTTTGGTGTGCTGGGAAGCAAATATGTGTGTTTTTTTTTTCTTTTGTACTGCTGCATCTTTCACGGAAGAGCCAAATGATGTTAATTAGATGGCATTAGCACTCGGTGCAAAGATGACCTCCATCTATCACCCCATGCTGATGGCTCTGTGAAAGGCTGGAGGCACAGCTTTTGGCGGGAGCTTCTAGGTGTGGTTCATTTCTAGATACACATTTAAATATTCTTCTCTCCTCTTCTACATTCCAGGTATCTTCTGGGTGAGCTGTGAAGCAGGCACATACATACGAACACTCTGTGTCCACCTTGGCTTGCTGCTTGGTGTGGGGGGCCAGATGCAGGAGCTCCGCAGAGTGCGCTCGGGCATCCTGGGAGAGAAGGTAGAGTGGGAGAAGGGAGCCTGACTATGACCAGCATATCTGAAATTGTCAGAATTGCAAGAGTTCCTTGGACCTGCATTGATTTTACAGTGTTGGGGGAAGGTATAGCTGTATGGCAGCTTGCAGGAGTTTTGCTATAAGTGGAAGCTCCTGCTGTAAGTGATGTTTAACCAAAGTGTTGAGTTCAGTTCAGGGTGTTTCCCCTGTTCTGGTAATTAAGCTTTGGGACAGTGAGTGACTGGGAAGTGCACCATGGTGACTGGAAGCTTGGCTTATGCCACCTGTATTTCTCGGTCTACAAGCCATGCACGTGCTGTGAGATCAGGTGTGTGACCTGTCTGTTTGGCAGTCTGTGACTGCTTGGTGTCGCAGCACGACGCAGGGAACATGCTTCATTGAAATGAGCCTGGGAGACACAGTCTTGTGTGATTTTGAACAATCTTTTCAATCTGGTTATAGCTGGATCCTGCTGCTGGTCCAGACTCCAGAACTGATTTCTTTCTGTGCAAATTGGGAGTGTCAGAGTGCAGGTACTCCCCCACCCACCTGTGCTCTTATCACATATGTAAGCACTGGCCGTCACTTCTGAATTCCAAGTGTTGGGCTGCTTACAGCTGTTCTGAGAATTTATTCCATGTTACAGATGGAGGAGCTGGTTAATGTAGACTTTTGCTCACTGACTTTGTCTAGAAGTCGCAGGTGTTTATTTATTAGGTCATATTTCAGAGTTGCATGTGGACGGACCGTACACACTAGATGCAAGTGCTCTGTGAGATTAGGAAGGTTGAAGTCTGGGGTAGCACGAGTCAGGCTGATTTCAGGCTGTTGATGGAAAGCATTCTTGTGTCTTAGGTTGCTTTTTTGATGATTCCGAGTTGGCATCTGTTTGTTAGTCCCTTTTATCACACTATTTGCTGTTGGACTTGAGCAGTTTTCTTACATGTTTTGATTTGGAGAGTTGAGAGGGGTTGTGTCTTTGCAGGACAACATGGTGACTATGCACGATGTCCTGGATGCACAGTGGCAGTATGACAACAACAAAGACGACAGCTACCTGCGAAGAGTCATCCTGCCACTGGAGAAACTGCTGACTTCACACAAGCGCCTGGTCATGAAAGACAGTGCAGTGAGTGCCTGGGATGTTCACAGCCAGAGCCTGCAAAGTGTCCTCCTAACCTATACAGTTAATACAATAAATGGGGATCAGGATCCACGTGGTCCCCAGCACTGTCCTGATTGTGAGCTCTCTGGGACCTAGTATGGGCCACTGCCAGATCAGCAGTAACATGCAAGAGCCAAGAATTGTGTGGCAGAGAAGCTACTCCTCACTTCAGGAGGGTGCTGATTGTTATAAGAGATCTACCTCATGTTAATTGCTGTCATAGGTGCTTTGCTTGCTTTTTCTAAAGCTAAGTTTTGTGTGGTGGACAAGAAGTAGATACGTAGGGATGTTACTGCTGGGACTGTAGTGGCAGTGGGAAGCTAAAATATTAGAGGCACTCCTTACCTTGTTTTTATTCTCTAATAGCATATAAGCTGTTACGTTCTCTACTTTTTCAGGTTAATGCTATTTGCTATGGAGCCAAGATCATGCTGCCTGGTGTCCTGAGGTATGAAGATGGTATTGAGCTTAATCAGGAGATTGTTGTCATCACTACTAAAGGAGAAGCTATCTGCCTAGGTATGAAGCTCCTTGTTGTTCTTTTGCCCAGCTAACTGCTGAAATAACAGACTGTGTTCCAGTGAATACACAACAAATGAGTCCCCATGTGCAGGAGGCTTAAATAGTGCTTCCTGATGGGGACTGTGGGTTTATGGCTCAAGGCAGCTGTTATTTGGTGTGATGTTAAGAAACAGTGGCTGCATCAGTTCTTGACAAGGTGTGAAGAGTACCTTAGTCTGGTTGATGTTCAGCTGTGTGCTGTATGTGAGGTGATGACGCAGTTTATCCATTCTCTGAGTGCAGTGGTGCTGTCCTCCTGCAGCACCCTGATTCCTGTTCCAGGGTCTGGGTGCTGTGCAGCCTCCAGACATCCTCCAGTCTCCCAGTGTCCTACTGGGGGCTGCTGTGGTGTGTGGCTGGCTGCCTGCAGGAGGGAAGTGGTGCCAACAGGGTTGGAGCCCCTCTCTGGGGGGCTCTGTCCTCACTGAGATGAGGGATGGTGTCTGATCACATACTGCTCTCTGGAACATCACACTTCCTGAGCAGATCATTGTAAAAGGACTTAGGGAACTACTCAAAGGGTGCTTTGTTGTAACCAGGATCTTCAAAGAAGCTTGTAGGTGGCAAGTGCTGACCTATTGTATAGGTGGTCTGCCATGATGCTTAGTTCTGATGGGCCTCATGCTCTGTCCAAACCTGTTGGACTGAGGGGCTTTGGAAGTGTAACACAAGCACACTGTTGTTTGCTGCCTGCACTCTGGTCATCTTGATAATCTGGCAGGAAAACCATTGTTCGTTTGTAGGATTACTCTCTTCTAGTGTGGCTGTACAATGTTTTGGGAGCTGATGAAGGACCAGCACTGCTCCCTTTTATAGTGGTGTGGTTCCTTGCACTTCCTGGAAGTGCTCCAGCAGCTGCTCACAGAGCTCTTCCCCATCCACTGGTGGTGTTGGTGCTGCTCTGAGAAATGGCTGGTCTTAATGTGTTCACTGATCCAGAACCAGTCTTTGGGTAAGATGGAGAGGCCTGTAGTTAATCTGTGACTGACACATTTGCTGCCTTTGAGCAGTGTTGGTTCAGAACTTCATCTCCAGTGAGGTTTTGGGGTGGAATGCTACTGGTGGAGGAGTGTTGCTCCTTTGTGCTGATAGAGGAAACAGGCTAAACAGCAGCTTCCTGCATTGCTGTTGTGGTTCTGCTTTTAAAGAGTTAATGAACTCTTGCCCTGCTTCTGCAGCTGTTGCCTTGATGACCACAGCAGTCATTTCTACCTGTGACCATGGCATTGTGGCGAAGATCAAGAGAGTGATCATGGAGAGAGACACCTATCCCCGCAAATGGGGCCTTGGTCCCAAGGTGCGTGGCTTGAGGGGGTGGTCAGTCCTGGGGGGCAGGGGGAGCTCAGCTGTCAGGATGTGGGACTCTGCTTCCCTCGAGCAGAGCTGCTCCTGTGTCTGCTCCAGGGCATCTGTGTGGTTTTGCTGTGCCAGCCCAGTGCCCGTGGGAGTGAGGCTTTACCTGGCACTGGAGCCTGGGAAGCTCTACCTGAGTGAGGCCCAGCTAAGACTGCAGCTGCTGCTTGGTGTAGGCTTTGCAGGTCTGGACAGTACCAGCCCTCTGGTAAAGAGCCAAATGATGTCAAGTGCATGGCATTAGCACTCTGTGCAAAGATGACCTGCTTCTATCACCCTATTACTGATGGCTCTGGAGGGGCTGGGCAAGGAGCTGCTTTTCCTTGTATTGCAACTGCAGCAGTGCCAGAGTGCAGACTGTCTTGTGAGACAGTACATTGTGCCTGAAGGACAGGAATGATGAGGATACCTGTTGTTGAGTTCCACTTCTGTCCCAGGCATGTGGCTGTCAAAGAAATCAGCAGGTCAGCAGTACTAATTCCCTGCAGTCAGATTGATGTTTCACTATGGCAAGTGATGCAGCTTGTTCTTAAAAATAGCTATTGAGTTGCTGTGGCTTATTCATTCCTGTGGTTCAGGTGAGGTGTAGAAAGCTGTGGGGATGTGTGCACATCTGCCTAGTAGCAAATGTGAGGTAATGCCAGGCCAGTTCAAGCACCTTGGAGTCTATAGCAAAGCCTTGCATTTGTAGCTGGAGTTGTAAAGCTGAAATGCAGCATGTCATTAAGCTGGAGAAACTTAGTCAAAGACCTGACCTCTGATGTGCAGTCATCTTATTCTGCTGCTGTTACTTCTCCCACAAACTGGCCCTTATTTACTGATGAAGATGCCTCCTGTCTGAAATTTGTAGGCTGCTGTGCAGGGGATGTTTTGTGTGATTTGTTAGAAGGTCCTTGGAGAAGTGCTAAATCAGTAACACTGTAGTTATTGGCTTGTGTTGTACCTGAATTACTTCCTCTTAGGCTGGATGGCTGAAGCTTCAAGGAGGATTTCTCCTCCCTGGAGCTGCCATCTGACTGGTTGCATGTTGCTTTCAGGCCAGCCAAAAGAAGATGATGATCCAGAAGGGGCTGTTGGACAAGCATGGAAAGCCCAATGAGAGCACACCGGATTCCTGGAAGAAGGAGTATGTGGATTACAGGTGGGTACAAGGTGTGTGGCTCCCACGTGGTGGGCAGAGGAGGAGCCCTGTGCAGTGAAGGCTGAGCTGGGGGCTGCCATTTGTGCTTGGAGCATGTTAGACCTGGCCCAAGGTTTTCATCTGTCCAGACCCATGAGGTGTGGTGGCATTTCTTGCAGTGCCAGGGACTGTGCTGCTGGTGGGCAGTGTTGGAGGGGAAGTCCCTGAGCAGACAGTTATCCCTTTCTAGCCTGTTGTGGTTTTAGAGGGAGTCAGTCTGCTAAATTAAATGGGAAGCCTTGCTGTTACCTAGCCCAGCTGGTCCTGGTGCAGTGTATGCTGGTCTCCCCCACACCAGCCTCCCCTCCCAGTGCCTGGCAGGTGCTGGGGAGCCCTTGCGAGGGGGCGCCGGGCTCTGTACTGGTACACGGTGCAGGGCAGCGGCTGTGCTGCTCAGCTGGGGGACCTTCTCTTTCAGGGTTGCTTCCAACAAAGAGGCAGCTGCTGTTCCCCGAGCTATGTCAGAGCTGGAGAGGGCTCCAAAGGTGAGTATTGTTGGTGTTTTCTGTCTGTAAGGTTGTCTGGGCCCTGATGAGGAGTGGTACCTGTTCCTTTAGGCAGTTGGGATCAGGTGCTGGATTGTTTGCTGCTTTGCTTGTTCCACATTCTGAGAGCCTGGTGCCCTCCTGTGTGTTGATGTTGCGTGGCACATGGGCTTTCTCTAGGGTGAGCTCTTCAGGGCCTTATCCTGGGGGTTTGTTTCTTGGACATTATATTTTGGGTGCAAGTCTTGTAGCACAGTATGAGAATGAGGAGCTCTGACTTGTGGTGTACAAGCTGCAGCATCTAAGGAAATATGTTATATAGAGCCACAGTGGAGGTTTGTTGTGCCTGAGAATGTTTTTGGAGACCGCAGACAGTTGCAGAAATGTCCATGAAAGAGTTGCATCTAAAATTGCATCTAAGTTAGAGCTTGTGTGTGATCTAAGTCAGGGCGTGTGCATGCACCTAGCAAAGTGCAGTGTTTTAAACTCTAGAGCATTTGGGGTACAGGAAACACTGAGAAGTACAGGGTGCAATTTTGTCAAAAGCAAATTCTGGACAGCGTATGCTGGAGGGGATCACTGACAGTCTGTAGCTCACCCTCTCAAAGTTTGGTTGAATAGGGCATTTTTCCTGATGGGGTTGCAAACAATTTTTCCATCATTTGAGCTCCTTTAAAAGATGCTGTCTGACAACATGTTCCCCTAACAGAGGAAACGAGAGTCAGAGAGTGAAGCTGAGGAGGCTGTGACCCCACCATCCCCTGCCACCCCACCGTCAGAGGAGCTGAGCAAGAAGGAAAAGAAAAAGAAGAAGAAAGAGAAGAAGGCCAAAGAGGCAGCTGAGAGTGGGGGAGAACCAATAGAAATGGTATGTAAGTGGGTGCTGCTATGGTGTAGTCCCAATGTGGGAGAGATTGCTGTCTCTCCCTGATACCTCCAGGATAAGCACATCAGCATCCTGCTGTGCATGCCCCCAAAGTGCCAGGATCCCCATAGGCAAGAGAAAGATGTCTGTATGGGTGCGTTTGTAAACTGAACTGATTGAGGGTGGTGGGGCAGGTGAGGCTCGTGGGTGTGAAGCTGCAGTAGGGCAGGGATGGGGTGAGCAGCAATCTGTGACCTGGGCTGGTTGGTGGGTACATGCTCCTGCCAGGCCACCTCTTCTCTGGTGCCTTGTACACGGGCTCCCATGAGAGGGTGGTGCCTGGCACAGTGCTGGCATTCAGTCAGTGTGCTTGAGTGCTTGTATGGTGGTGACTGTGGCCATGGGGAGCCTGTACTTCATCTGCAGTGGGGCTCTTCCTCCTGAAATGAGCAGTGGTGGATTTCTTTTTGATTCCTTCGGGACCTCTCCAACCTTTTCACAGACCAGTGAGACCAGCACGAAGAAGAAGAAGAAGAAGAAACAAAAAGAGAGAGAAGAGAGTCCAGAGTAAGCAGCTGGATCTATCCAAAGCAGACGACTTCATCAGTAGGGAGGGAGGAGTCTGAGGCCTTGAGAAAGAGGACTGTCTGTGTTGCAGAAGGACCAGCAAGTTCCCAGTTCCTTTTCTGCTGTGTATGAGTGAGTGGGTGTGTTCGCCCAGGATATGCCTTGCTCAGGTATCCCTCCACATCCTGTTTTAAGGGTTGACAGAGGAGCAGGGTGCCTGACTGCCCCTGCACTGATTGCTCTCTAAAGCTGAACACCATGATGCCAGTAGAAGTGGTGTCTTCAGGGAAGCTGTAGCTCCTGGCTCTTGCTTGGTGTCTCTGTTTTCACCCTGAGAGGGAGGAATAACATTTCTCCCTCCCCCTCTTGTTCGGCCTCTTTCTTCCTTTTCTTCCAAGGTTGGAGCTGTTGCCTGACAGTTGCAGAATGTGTTGGTGTCTAGAGGACTGGCTTTGTCATGGCCTGTTTGGATGGGGACAGTCAAATCAGTTATTTAAAGGGCTCTGGTTTGTTTTAACCTGGATGTATGCTTGGCTTGACACTCAGCTAGATGAGGTCACATAGTCCACCCAGATATTGATCAGTATTTGCTTTAACTTTATCATGAAAGGTTTTGAACATTAAATTCCTGATTTTCCTCTTATGCTTGTTAGTTGACCAATCCCTAGACACAGTGACCTGTCAGTGTGTACTTCTTGCTGGCTCTTTCCTCTCCACCCTGTTAGTTGTTGGACTGGGACCACAGTCCTTTCAGTTGCCTTCCCTGGTTTTGACACCTAATACATTCTGAAGGCTAGAAGTGAAGTGGCCATAAAGTGGCTGCCCAGTATGCTTTCTCAAAGGGCTGTTTGGAACCAGAGTCCTTGTGAGGAAGAGCTTGGCCAGTTAGCTCTGCAAGGGGCGCTGGGGCTTAAGAGGTTTCAGAAAGACTGATCCTAATATCCTTATCTGAGGTGGCTCGATGGGGATGGGAGTTCTCTGTCACAGGGGTAGTGCTGAGCCAGGATTTTAGCCCCTTCTAATGGGGGAGGATCCAGGCTGCTTTCTGAGCTTCATCCTTGCAGAGATTCTGTAATGTTTGTCTTAGCCTCATGCATTGCTTTTCTCTTAACTCTGTAACTTTTCTCCCCTCCAATGCCAGAGATACATGCAGGCAACAGGGCCAGCAGCTGGTGGCTGTCAGAACCTGAGCAGAAAAAAAGTCCGTTTTTATTTACTCTTTTTTACATAAAAATAAAAGCCCTATTTTTGAACAAGTGATCTTCTTGCTCATGTGGCACCTGTAAGAGGGTGGTGGGTTTTGTTCTTGGGCAGGGGAGGCAGCTCAGTGAATGTGCATGCTGCAGCTGGGCAGATGAACAGCTGTCCCTTCTGCTTGGCCTTTGTGCTGCTCTCCTGAAGAAGCTGCTGGTGTGGACCAAGGGGTCATGTTCATGTGGACCATAACTGGAGGGGCCTTTGTTGCTGGTCAGAATTCGACAGGGTCACCCTCCACTTTGGTAAAACCCACTGGGATGTGTGCCTGGAAGGTGAGTGTTCTGTTTCCTCCCTTCCCTGTGCTGGAGGGAGCTGCTAGAGAGGTCTGACTATGGCTGGAGTTTGGTCCTGTCTGCCTAACCTTGAGTGTGGTAGGGTCAGGGAGCTGGGAACAGACTTCCAGCTGCAAACAAGTTCTCAGCCCAAGAAGCAGAACACCAGTTACAGCAATGTTTTGGCACACATTTATTGCTGCTTATTGTTTCCCTGCAGTGGATCAGAACGAAGGTCCCTATTGCACATCAACAGATGTTATTTTTGGCATCCTTAAAAATTGCACAAGACTTTAGGCCCCTCCCCTTCCCTCTAGCTGACTGCTGAACACACAGATGAGATTCTTTTACCTAAGTGGTGGCTATGGTTTGCCCAGGAGCCATAGTGATGCTTCCTGGACATGGTCATGGTGGGGCTTGTCTGTCAGTACACTCCTGCAAAAGAAGGAAACCTTTGACTTGGGTGGTTTCTGTTTGCACCCCATATGCAAAACACCCTAGACTCTGGAGAACACCCCTGAATGATCTTTGCAGGGGCACTGTTCCTACTGCATGCAACAGATGCTTGTGGCTGGATACAGTTTACCCATTGGAGTGTCCCTCTGGGGCTGGTCTGTGGGACTTCCCTGGCTGCTGCTCAGGCAGTTGCAATCCAAGCAGCACACTGAGGAATTTAAATACAGGGAGTTTTTACAACTGTAGTGGCACAGGGCGAGTCAGAAACCCCCAGCCTCACAGTGTGGGGTGAGGCCTGCCTGGGGACATTGTGCTCCACACCACCTTTCTCAAATCCAGACACCAGCCAAGCTGTTGAGGTGTCTGGGGCAGTGTGCTCTCCTATGATGGCAGGAGGCTCCTCTTTCACTTCCCTTGGGACTGATGGGGAGAAGACTGGACAGGTGCTATGGCAGGACTGTGCTTTCCCTTGTCCAGTGAGGTGTGGGGACCTGTGCTCTGAGCTAGTGGGATGCCCCGGCCTCTGCTGCAGCAGCTAACTTAGCACTGCACTGCCATGCGAGGCAGGGCCCTGGGCAGCCCATCCTGTGTTCCCCTGGGAGAGATGGTCCAAAACCCCTGTGTGTGTGTGTGAACCAATTGAGACCATGTCCATGGAGCAGCAGAGGAAAGGAATTGTGCTGGGCTGTGTAGATCAGGGGAAGCTGAGGAGGTTTCTCCCCATGGCTGCAGGATGGTCGATGGGAAGCGGCTGGGGTCAGATGCCCCCTCAGTAGACCCAGGAGATGGGCACCCATTGTGGAGAGCTGCAGGCCTGTTCAAAGGCTTCCTGCAGCAGCTGGAGGCTTTCTTCCACCCCGTTGTTGACCAGTGACAGGTCAAAGTAGTGTGCATATCTGCTCCGGATGCTCTCGGAATCCTTACGGAGCTGCTGCAAAGCCTCCGACTGTAAGAAATGGGAGAGAGTGCTCAGGAGGCTGGGGAGGAGGGGAGTGTCACAGCCCACTACCAACAAGTAAACTTCCACCACCAAAAAACCCTCAACTGGTTGCTAAGTATCAGATCACAGAAATCCCTGCAGCTTGTCTGAGGAGCCAGCATCTGTTGTGCAGTCTCTGGGACTGTTTCTGCAGGTTTTGCATGTGCTGTGCAATGCTGGGAACATAAGGTTACCTGCTAGAGTAAGGCCAGACCTGCTTGGGTATTTATCTTTCAAATGCTTTGTGGCAGCTCCCTGGGAAGAGAAGGTTCCCTGAGCAGCAGGCTGCTCACTGCTATGCCATGCAGTGTAGCCAGCTGAAGACCTAAGGCTGGTTTCAAGGTAGGATCCCTGCAGGATGGTCATTCTTCACTGGCTTTTGACAAGAACAGTGCTGGCTGGCAGAGCTGTACCAGCCTCCCTCTACTGCATTTGGCTGAGGTAGTTAGGTTTCCTCATAGTAAAAGCAAAGCTGCCTGCCCTCCTGCTGGTGTGGCTAGTGTGCACAGCTACCCAGTGAGTGGGATCATCCTAGGAACGTGGCCCTCTGGTCAACTCTGCCCTCCACAGTGAAGTCTGGGCCAATTTCCAGATATTTACCTACCAGAGCTTGAGGCACAGGTGGCTCCCTGCTTGTGCCTGGCAGGGGGTGGGGGATGAGCTTGGGGTGCTGTGCTCACTGCAGCTCTGCTGTGTGTTGCCTGGCAGCTCTTGGGGGGGGAGGGGAGAAGAGCAATAAGCAGTGTGCCTGTGTCATTTGAGCTCTGCTGGGTCACATTTTTGTCACTGCTGCATCCCTTCCAGTAAGCAGGTACCTGAGCTGCAGCAGCTAGCTGTACACAGTGCCTGCCCCTGCACACTAGTGCCGCTGTTGGGAGACAGTAGTGTCTGATGGGGCATGGAAGGGGGGGAATCACAGCATAACTGCCCTTCCTGCCCTGCCATTTGCCTGCCTTTCCCCACCTCAGCCTGCTGCATCTGGCTTTACAATACTCTGCAGGTTAATAAGCGCCTGTGCAGTGCTTGCTCTGAAGGCTGTATAAACAGCCTCCCTGCAAGCTATCTCTAACTCACATCAACAGGCTGGGAGAAGTGGCCTTGGCTGGCAGTGAGTACATGTGGCACACAGCTCCCTGGGTTCCCCTGCTCTCCTGTCGCTCCCTGGGAAGGTGAGCCCTGGGGGAACTGGGCCAGGGAGCTGCAGGGCAGGGTGGGCAGCACTGCTCTCTGCCTGGGGCGGGGGGTTCCTGGGGGTGGCAGCGTGTGGTGCTTGGCACTGTGCGAGTTAACTGCAGCATCAGTGTTGCTTTCGTCCTAGTTTTGGGAGAATGAGCGTCCTAATGACAAAGAATGAAAAGAGCTGCTGTTTTTGTGTACCACTTGCGTATCTGGTGGCAGGATAGTTTCCTGCTCTGCAGCACTGCTGCAGCTGGAGACAGCCCTGGGTGCTGGGCTGTGTGCCCACTTCACGTTAGCAGCCGATGACGCTGCACAGGGATGATGGAGGGGGTGTAAATCTGGGAGCGAGTCTAGAGCTGCAGGAATCACCAGTTCTGGGACTGAGGAAGGTGCACTGTGCTCCTGGACCACAAATATGAACGCAGGCAGGAAGAAGCTGATGTGGAGCAGGGAGAGAGCCCTGGGCTGCTGCAGCGTGTTCCTAGTTCCCCTCCAGCCATACTTGCCTGTCCAGTGCAGAGGGATCAGCCTCAGTGCCCTGCTACCCACCTGCTCTGCCTTGTCTGTTGGGGCAATGAAGACTATGAACGGGGAGAGCTCGGCTGTGCGGATGATCTTCAGGGTCTGTGGAGAGAGGAGTGTGGTTACCAGGCTGTGGCCGTTCTTCAGGGTGGCAGCAGGCCCAGCTGGCTAGCTGTTGCCCCCCAGCCAGGATGTGATGATGCCCATGATGCAGTGGTGGGTTAAAGGGGCCACCCTAGTCTGGGGCTAGGGGCTCTTTGGGCAGACTGCTGAGCCTGGGTAGTGGGGTGATGTTGGGGCAGTTGGGTGAAGCTGGAGCAGGGGTCGCAGCGTGGCTTCCCCTGTGGGAAAGCCGCATGTGGGAGGACACGCTCTGGAGCTGGCTGCTGGACACAACTGCCACTTTGCAAAGCAGCACCCACATGCTTGGTGTTGGAGAGGGGAAAGCATCCTTAAGTGGGGCCTGTGCACCCCACTCTCACAACGGCCTGGCACTGGCCTTGCTGTCACAGCCAGGTGAGCGTTGTGATGGGGAAGACCCTCGCGGCGTTCGTGCCTTGGCAATGGCAGTGCCAGCCCAGCACTCCCCAGCTCTCTCCTTGGTAGGGATGGGCAGACAGTGCCCTGGCGAAGGCAGGGAAATCACAGCCAGCACACAGGTAGTTCAATTTGTGGTAGCCCACATCCTGCTTACCCCTTCCCCTGCTCCCTACCTGGGGCTCAACGTCCAAAACGGCAACTTTGTCCTGCTGGTGGATCTTGTGCACTGTTTCAAACTTGGTTCCAAACATGTTTCCCTGGTAGCTTCCAAACTCCAGGAACTTGTTGGCTGAGATGTCCCGGGTCATCTCCTCAGTGGTGACAAAGTAGTAGTCTTTCCCATCCACCTCATTCTTCTTCTGGGGGCGTGTGGTGTCTGGGGAGGGAGGGAGATGGTGAGTTCTGGCCCCCAGAATGCCTGGGGAGCAGAGAGGGCAGCCTCTACTCTGGGTGACCTGAGTGTCTTGCCTTTGCTTTTTGATCACAGGACTATGGCATGGAGGACCTGTGTACTTAAACACTAGGCTGTACTAATCCCCTTTCATAGAAACATAGAATCACTCTGGTTGGAAAGGA